AAAAAAAATCATTAAAAATCAGACAATACCTAAGTTTTGACAAATCAAAAACTATTTTATAGCGGCCATCTTTTTAAATGGTTTATGGATGCCGTGCTAGATTTCGCAGTGCCACAATACATTTATATACCATACTTTTATAAAATGGAACAACGGCAGTATGAAGTCACTTTATGGTGGCCATCATGTTTAATGGCACAATGAAGTGGTGGTAAAGAAGCAGTGCTATGAACTTGAATGAAATCGGAAAATATCTCAATTATAACCAATCAGTAGTCAGTTTACAGCCATTATATTCGAGCGTTATCATCAATTGAAACAATTTTACATGAATAACGTGTATCACCTTTTTCTTAAGAAGATCGTTTCAACTAGTTCTCAAAGCAATGTTTTGTATATATCAAACAACATTCAAGAAAATCTAGATATACGTACTGAAGCTGTAAATACGAATCCATAGTTGATGGCGTAGTATTTCTGTCCAAAACACTTCGCTGTAGCCGTTGGCAGAAGTGAAAAATTACCGGAAAATGACAGGAACAGAAGGCAGACGTATAAGAGGTAGAGGGCTGAGCCAAATCTTTCCGTCAAAGGAAATGTCAGTATACATACACAAAACAACCCACAGGACAGCATGGAGGCTACCTAAAATGTAACGGTAGTATCACACACACAAGACCTGGAAATTCTAGACATGTCTGAAGAGCAGTCTTTCGGATCAAAACGACGGTATTTTTTCGTATATTATATAAGACGTATCAATATATACTTATTATCTCGCCATTTCTCGTGATAACCTGTCTTTCATCTCCTTGATAGCTCTAGCGTGAGAGCTGACAAACGTGCTGCTACCGCCTTCATAAACGTGAATGTTTTGTTTTGGTATCTTCTTCGTTGCCTTCTGTTTATTTACGTTCGCATTTTTTTCTTTGTTTTCACTACTTTTTTGGCAAATAGAAATAAGTTCCTTGAAGGAAAGGTCACAACATGAAATCAAATTGATGCTTTGTGAAATAAAACTTGCCTTGAAACAAAACTTGTCTGCCAGGTAGCCCCATAATATCCGCCCTCCACCATTGCACACAGCCGCTAGGGAGCCGACAATAGCTAGAAAGTGATCATCTTTGATGAACGTCTGCCCATATGTCTGAAATATTGAGAGTATATTATTATTTTATTTTCTTCCACTTGGACAATACAGTGACAATTATGTGATTTCATTTAAAGTGGAACACTGGATTTCTTAGACTTTGAGGTTTGCCTTAAGCTTGATGACTACGATTGTTAATTTTGTGTAGAAGTATGGTTTATATTATAAACACATGTTTTTGTATGCTACTACACTTCCAAGTTTCTTAATTCTTGCAGCAAAGAGATTTTAGGCACCTCAACTATGCTTCAAAAGTGTTTAAAACTAGTTTGGATTTCCACCGTTTTTTATCCTAGCATCATCGACGAGTTGTGTGAACATGCACATTGAGAATATCAGCTATAACCTTTGACGACAAAAGTCAGCTTGGTCATAACATCATTTGCATTTGTGACAATTGGCACTACGATCTCAACAACCTTGCGAATGTACATGATTGAGTTGGGTGTTTTTTAAGGGCCTTAAATATCGTGATCATAATTAGAGATATCGTTTTATTTGATGAAAATGTTCTATGATTACCAATTGAACGGTAGATTAACGAACAAACCACGTCAGGCAATTATAGGTCACTTGATTACAAAATAGCATTGATACATGCACCACAAACCCTCGGCTGAGTAACAATTCCACTGATATTGTGCCATGCGCCAGTGAACTGTGTTACGCTACAGGTGCCGGCACAGTACAGTGATACCCAGTCGAGTCTCTTCATACGACCATCTAAAGGTTGTTTTGTCATTGTTCTGGTGAGATTTAAGGATCCGTGTTCCAGTGGGGGCAAAACACATACATACTGTTACCTCCTCTTAATTTCGCTTTCGGTATAACTTTAAGCTCGACTTGGCCAGGGTACTTTCATTGTCTGGGTACATGTAGCTATTTTTCAGACCTACAGTCTATTGAATTGGTGGAATAATGGAAGGTGCAAGGTTTGAACCCTGATCTAGCCTCATTACAATTTTACAATCAGAACATGAAAATGAATATTTTGGTTACCTATATACTTACCTTATACAGAGACGATATAAACTGGATCCCTTGTCCATTAAACAAAAAGAGAAACCACAGCATATAAAATGACTTCTTCTTCAGAACCTGCCTTGGCGAGTAGTCGGTATTCTGTACACTCCCGCTATTGAAGTTATACATATATATCTTATTTACAAAGCCTATCTATCTTATTACACGTATTAACAGCTCACCGGGGTAATGACAATTAATATTTGACGTTAACGTGATACAAAGCAGCCCACTAGGACTAACATAAAAGTAGTATAAAGCAGCTTACGTTGATGGGTAATAGCTTTGAATAATTATTATAAATGTAGTAAAAAGCAGTTCATTGGATAACAATATCTAATCATTTACTTAGGCATGATACAAAACTGCGCTTAAATCATTTGTCCTGCTCACATAGCTTAACGTGTACATTATAGCAGTAAGACTTGTTTCAGACTAAGATAAATCATGCAACACCACATGTTACTTTAAGGATCCCTGGTCCACTGCCCTGTAGTTGTTTTTGTATACACAGTAACAGGGGTTAAATTCGTGTTGGTTATTATTGCAGCACTGTTTTGCCAGTACACTTCGGTTCACCAGCTAGCTTAGTTAGTAAGAGCTACAGTATAACAATCTGAAGTATGATTTATCAGAGCTATTGTCATGCCGGAAAGTAGTTTTCTATGCGTAGTGACCGATTTTGGCAGTGATATTGGGATCCTTAAATTTGTATCAATTAACCTTTAAAGTTCTTAATCTTTTTCTTTAACTTACATGGATGTAAGCAGCTGTGTTTCCTCGTCATTGCGGTTGACTTGCTCAGAAATCTAAGGTAAATTTGATAGCATAATAATAGAATGACTATAAATAAAATATTAAGTTTTAATGACAATGATATTGAAAAAGGAACAAAGCCCGGCTCACGAAATATGAAAACAATTGAGAATTAAATCAGATCAATAAACCAATCAAGTTGTTCTGAAAAATATTTGCTGAGCCTTGACTTTGACTTGTCGATAATACTCTACTTACGCTCTCTGGTGGGTCTTTCAAAAGTATGACCCCGACAAGCTGAATGGCTGCGTAACAACCTCCAAGCACAAGAAACATTCGGGGAACTCTGTCTAGTACGCTGTCTTGGTCGAAGTATCTGTAGAAAAAAAAATCAAAAGCGAATTGTTTCCACGCGAACCGCGGATGCTCTTCAGTGGCCAAACGACAAATACGATGGACCATGCTGAATGAAAATCCCCATAATGAAAATTGATGATATTAAGTCTCAGGAATGAGTTTTTTGGACCTAGGAGATTTTCGCATGCTAGTTGGCGCTTCCTTTGTCAAAACCATTTTCTTTGCTTTGGTAATGTTTCCTAACAACGGACAGTTATGTTATATAACGCTTTTGTCAAAACAAATTCCATGTTGTAATCGCCAGTAAAAAATATCGCACTACAGAAGCACCTTTACTGGAGCTCACATTCGCCATTATTCTGAAAACGTCACAATATCTATCGTCACCACCTTATTGAGGGTAATACGGATAGCGTCAAGATTGTAGCCACTTCCATGGTAACATCTATTTTAGATCCGGGGGTTTTCTGTTACTATTGTCATTAATTTTCAGAAATGAGATATTTTGGAATTGTCCAATTTCATGGAACTATTTTTAAAAAAAACGCAAAAATTAACCCCTCTCAAAAAATTTAGATGTTAATAATGAAAACATTTTTTCTTTGTTATGACGTATTCCAGAGGTGCAGGAAAATGTAAGTTAGAACAACCCCAGGAATTCCGGGGATTCAGGGTATTTGGCAAGTATATGCACGAATACAATTATCATCTATCAAAAACGAAAAGTTAGTTGTTAATCATTTACATCGTCACTATGAAATTAAAACTTTGTATTTTAAGGACAAATAAGTTTCCATCTTTTATATTTGTAAATTTGTACTCACTTGTCCTGATCAACAACTTTGTTCGGAGCAAGGTTGTCAGGGTTGAGATAGGCCGTCTGAACCTGGTCAAATATAAACGCTCCGCCTCCAAATCCAGCTACTACAAGGCCATTTACCAGACCCCTTTTATCCGGTAGCCACTGCAAAACGCAAGAAAGATTTGCTTTGCATCAAGTCTAAACAAAGTAAACTGTTTAAGTCCTTTAAGTATCATTTAGGGTATGTTTATACATGTATTATAACCAGACGAGTAAGTAGCATGACACCTATTGCTAAAGCATATTAGACTTGCATAAACAAAATTCCGCTCTAATGAAGGAGAAAGCATGGAAGCTTAACTTCATTCTTAGATGTTCATGTGTTTACTTGAGAAGTCTTGGCCAACCTAACATACGTGTCGATGATAACAAATGTCCATGATTACTAGAATATTTGTTTTGAAAGTCTATGCGATAGAATATCTTATTTTTTCTATTTGTGTTTTTTTCTGTTGGTGTCAGAACAATTAAAATATAAACGTGAAATTTCACAACTTGTAATTATGCTTTTGTAGGTTGATGACCGGAGAAGTTTACATATAAGGACAAGGTATAAATTCATTCACATTAGAGGAACAGGGACCCGAGAATTTGTTACAGCTATATTCCGACCTAAACTTGGATTTTTAGAGTTATTTTACACGTTTAAGTGATTAAGATACATTTTCGGTAAAAATGTCACCCAAAATGATGGATATACGAAGGGAGAGGAAAGCTCTCTTATGATATCGTGTACCATTCGGGTATTCTTCGTGGCCGGTAAACGAATGCAATATCACTCCAAAAATAGTGCTCTATTTGTGAACTAATTACTTAAATTCCAAATTGTTTTAATACCATTCTCTGACTTTGTCAAAAAACAAGAAACGTTTCATATTTGTGTCATGGAACTTTTAAATATCACGGGATAATGTTATACGCGTACCAATTGGGGTAACGACGTGTTCGCAATCACTGTATGTATATAGAATCATTGAACACAAACTTACAGCAAAGAGTTTACCTGTAGTAGTACTTAACATGACACGTTTACCTTCATTCCACAGCCCATTGGTGTTGCGTATGCAATGCCGACTCCAAATCCAAACATTGCACCATAGGTGAGAACAGTCAAACCGAAGGATGACTGTATTGTAAAATAAGTCAAAAGCACTCCGCCGCTATTTAAAAAAAAAATCAAAGAAAACAATAGTGACCATTTAGCTATTTTTTTGGTAAGGGTACCAGCATGTTGAACTACATTGTATATCATTATCAATGTCACTACTGTAAAGTGTTTGTTTTATTACTTTTTCAGAAGAAATATATTGCATACAAATCACGTGCTGTTACGAATTATAGTTGTTCTTAATTTAATTGAAATGCTTGAAAATAGAAATGAGAAAAGAAAGAAACCCGGGACCTTCACATTGCACAACCTACAGTTTACTAAAAAAGGAAAACAAAAATACAAACATTATCATACTTGGAACTGAGATTTGACATGCAATGCATCAAAATGATTTTATAATTAAAGAGTCGCAAACCATATGAAAACAAATTGCTGGGTTAAGTAACTCTTCGTCAAAAACGCTCCTATGGAATGCTTCATATTTTATATAGAAAGGGGGGGAAATACCAAGTCAAAAATATTCTATGTGGAATTTGTTCTCGCGATTATAACTGATGCATGAGATCACCATTCTCAGCGATTCCTTCTATTCAATTCTTTCTCAGGAGATGCGGCAATGATTCTGCTGTTTTTTCCACCGAGGGTTGATGACATCATAAGGTAGTTGAAATATTAGCCAGGTGGTCTTTTATTTCTCTCGCGATTGACTCTATAAGCCATCGTCCTTTTGGAACTATGGATACCAAGGGCTCGGTGCGAACAGCCGATTGGTTAATACAGAACTAATATCACAACTCGTTTATCAGGAGTCCGAGGCCAGAGTGTTGTGTTGCAGAAAACCGGATCATATTTAGCGTAAGTTCGTCAGTGAATCCAGGATCTTATTGATACGAGATGCAAACCATGGCAAACGGGTTGACTCAAATTGGACCTCATGTATATATATGAGATGAAAGTACTTAAGACTCGTTGTTAAGAATTTTTCTTTTTA